CTTTTCTATACCTTGTATTTGTTTAGTTTGTTACGGTGGGTCGTGCGTTGCGTGTCTGTGTGTTATGTGGGGTGCTTGTTCGAATTGGAGCCACAGATTGTAAGCTTCTGTGGTTGTGCGGTCCTCTTGCCCCAGTGTCCCCGCAAATTTTTCATATGAGACATTGGTAGATGTTAGGGCTATTATTTCTGTTTTTGTGGGAATCGCCGACGATTTCCATTGTCTTGCTATTAATGTCGTTGCCGCTATCGTGATAAGATAGACTAGTTTTCGAACGGGTTTCGTGATATTTTGTGGTGAGATGTGTAATAGATATAATTCTATGCTGGGTTGAATCAATACCCCTGTGCTGTTTGTAACTATTTCTTCCACTGCTTCCCATACTGGGCGTATGAGTGGACAGGTCCACCAGATATGTAATGTGTCCCCTTTCGCCTTTAAGCATCTCCAGCACTTGGCTTCGGAGTTGTTGTACATTTTATTTAATTTGCTAGGGGTGAGGTGCCACCTATAGAGTAGTTTTCTGGCGATTTCTAGGTGGGAGGCGCATCGTGTCGTGCTTTTGTGTGCTACGAAGGCTCTACCCCATTCCTGGGGAGTTAGCTCCCTCCCAATATCTGTGTGCCAATCTTTTTGAAATCCCCAGAGGTGCTTTTGAGGGCTCCCAGTGAGTATGTTGTAGCATAGTGATATAGTTTTTTCTTGCTTTTTTTTGTCGAGGCATTTAGTTTCAAAGTGAGTTAGTTTTGGTTCACCAGTCATTGGTTGAGTGGGTGTATGTGCAGTCCGTAGTGTGTGGTGAAGTTGCATGTATGAGAATTGGGCCCTGTTTGGTATATTATGATGTGTTTGTAATTCTTTGAAGCTCCTCAGGGAGCCGTCTTGAGTCAGCTGGTGAAGGTGGGTTAGGTCGTGTTCAGCCCAAATTTTATAGTTGAACGAGGGGTCTAGGGTGTGCAGCGTTTTTAAGGGGGTTGCGGGGGACCACTCATGTCTCGAGCAGACCCTGTGCTTGTTTTTGTCCCAAATAGATAGCATGAGTTTGGTTGTCGGCAACATCTGGGGGGTGCGGGGTCGTATTTCCTTTGGGGCCCATATGAGGTGTGCTACGTGCCTCCCTTCTAGTCTGCTGGATTCTAGATCCAGCCATTGTGGGGGTTGTGCTCTAGAGTGGCACCGTAGCACATTTGCCAGTTGCGTGGCTCTGTGATATTCTCTTACGTCTGGAAATCCCAGTCCTCCCTCTCTTATTGTCCGTGACAGGAGTCGCCATGTTACCCTGGGTTTTTTGTTTTGCCATCCAAATCTCAAAAGAGTTGTCTGGAGGTTTTTAAAATATTTGGCGGGGACAGGTATTTGTAGTGTTCGGAATAGATAAAGAATTTTTGGCAGAATCATCATTTTGATAGCCGCACATCTACCCACCCACGATAGGTATTTGCCTTCCCAGGTCTTTAATGTATTTACAATTTCTGTGTAGAGTTTTTGGTAATTCATTGTGAAAAGTGAGTTATATGTTTTCGTGATTTTGATTCCCAAAAATGTGAGATGGTCTTCTCTCCAGTCATATTGAAATGCCTTTTTGAGTCTGGTCATTGTGTTGTCTTCTATGCCTATTCCCAATGCTTGGGTTTTAGTGGTGTTTAGCTTGTAGTATGAGTGTGCGCTATAGGATTGAAGTTCTTTTTGTAGATTTGGGAGGGAGATCAATGGTTGGGATAGTGTTAAGAGGACATCGTCTGCGAATAGGTTGAGTTTGTACTCTCTGTCTCCTATATTTATGCCGTGTATGTTTGAGTTACGTCTAATGGCTTCCGCGAGGGGTTCCAGGGCTAACACGTAAAGAAGTGGTGACAGGGGACATCCCTGCCTAGTCCCATTTGTGATGTTGAATGGATCTGATCGGGAACCTGAGGATGATACCGCGGCGTTCGGGGAGCTGTATAGGGCTTTGATTGCTGTCAGATAAGTGGGGGGAAAGTCAAATTTTTTCAGAGTAGCCTCTAGGAATTGCCAATTCAGTCTGTCGAATGCTTTTTCTGCATCTAGGGAGATTATGAGACCCTGGGTCCGGTCCATGTGTATCGACTGTATTATGTCTATTACCTTTCGTGTATTGTCTGAGCCTTGCCTTCCGTGTACAAAGCCCACTTGGTCATTTGAAATAAGGTCAGGGAGGATGTTTTTGAGTCGGTTAGGTAAAATTTTTGCGTACAGTTTGGTGTCCGAGTTTAGTAATGATATGGGGCGGAAATTTTGGCAGTGTGTCGGGGGTTTACCTGGTTTCGGTAGGGTAATTATTCTAGCTGCCAAGTACTCCGCTGGGAAGCTTCCTGTCTGAAGAGCGTGGTTGAAAGACCTGTTGAGGTGTGGGGCCAGGAGTGGAGCGAATTTCTTATAGTACTCGTTCGTAAAGCCATCTGGCCCTGGTGCTTTCCCTAGGGGCATGGATGTTATACATTCTACAATTTCGTTTTCTGTAATGGGAGCTTCTAGAAGTTGTTGCTGGGTTTTGGATAGAGTTGGTAGCGGGATGTTTGATAAGTAGGATTGTATACCAGCCTCCGTGGGCTGTGGCGTAGTCGGATCATTAGAGAGGTTATATAATTGGCTGTAATATTGGGCAAATTCTTTACAAATGCCTGAGGGGAGGTGGATTTTTTGGCCCTTTTTATTTAGGATATGTGCTATCCGTGTTTGTTGCTGTCTCTCTCTTAGGTGTTGTGCTACAAGCTTACTGGCCCTGTTACCTTGGACGTATGTGCGTGTGTTTAAGCGCTTCAGCATGAGGCCAAATTTGTGGAGTCTAATCTCGCTTAGTTTGTTTTGGAGTGAATTGATTTGTGTTTTATGCTCTGCTGATGGTTGTTTTTGGTTATCTTTGTGAAGCTCTGCCAATTTTTGTTCGCATTGCATAGTTTCTTTTTCTGATCGTTTCTTTAGATATGTGGCTCTGCTTATTAATGAACCCCTCAGTACCGCTTTGTGTGCAAGCCAGATCATGTGGGGGTTTAGGTCGCTTGAGGCGTTAGTGGTAAAGTAGTTATGCAGTTCTTTTTCTAGGGTTTTACAGAATTGTGAATCTTTGATTAAATAGTCATTGAGACGCCATGGGTTTCTGTGTTTGTAGTCATAGGAGCTCGTCAATGATAGTGTCATTGGTGCATGATCTGACCAGTCAGCGGTCAAAATTTCGCATTCTAAGATGTTGGACATTGTGGATTCGTGCATGAAGCACCCGTCAATTCTAGAGTACGTATTGTGTACTTTGGAGTGGTGTGTATAGGCCCTTTCTGAAGGGTGGAGGGCTCTCCACACGTCTCTCAGTCCATATGTGGCTAGTAAGTTCCCAAGGCTTTTGCCTTGTTTTTTCATGGTTTTGTAGTGGGGCGACGTGGGCGGCCTAGTTGAATCTAGTGTGGGGTCCAACACAAGGTTTATGTCCCCGCTCATGACTAGAGTGCCTTTTCTTATTTTTTCAATTTTAGAGAGGACTGCATGCAGAAAATTTCTTTGGTTGATGTTTGGTGCATATATATTCGCCAGTGTGTATTCTATTTCGTTAATGGTGCAGTGCCATACGATGTATCTCCCCCCCTGGTCTATTAATTGGTTGTGTGATATGATCGTGAGGTCTTTGCTGAGGAGAATTGAGACACCTCGAGATTTTCTCGGGGTGGTGGAATGTGCTTGGTGGGGGTACATGTTAGGACTTACGTGGGGGTGAGCATCGGTTCTAAAGTGTGTTTCCTGGAGAAATACTATGTCTGCATGCGTTTTTTTAAGTTCCCTGCTCAGAGTGTGACGCTTTTGTGGGATATTTAATCCCTGTACATTGTGGGAGTATAGTTTTAGACTGAATGTATGTGGGAATTGGATGTGCTGTCTTGGTCTTCACTGTCTCGAGTGGTGGCTAACGGTGGGTCGCCCCTCTTGCTCTGAGAAGAGTGGCTGGGGGTGTTTTTTGTTATGCGTAGGTGTGGCGGATGTACCGTATTCGGTTCTATAAGGCGGATATAGTGTACTAGTGGAATGTTAACCCTGCCTTTGTGTGAATTGCATACAGATATAGATGGTGTGATTTGCCTTTGAGCATAGGTGAATCGAAAACCTTTAACATATTTACAATAACATAAACATAACATTGTTAGAGATCTGGCCCTTGTGCCCTGGTCGTCCATCAGGGCGCAATTCAACCCGCTAGTTCCTCCTACTAGCTCTCCCTATCTGGGGGGTTGGGAAGTCCGGTTCTGGCTTCCTGGCCGAGTCAGTGGGCGCCACCCCAAGCCAGCGGCTCTAATCTAGGCTACCTTGGGGATTTGTTTTGAGGGTTGTCTAACTCAAGTGGAGTGTCGGTAGGATCAGAGGGAGCATACCATCAATCCTGTGTTCTTGATGCGGAGATGGGCAAGTGGGTTTTGATCGTAGAGGTTTGGAATTATCACTTATCTAGGGGGGGCTGCGGGCGTTGGATTGGCAGAGAGGCAACAACTTGCTCCCCCGATCCCAACTTTTAGTCCGTGTTACCGGTGACTCTATACTTTACTTTGCCTCGCGTCCCCTAGGGGGCGGGGGTAGCAGTGGCCCTTGTGTGGATTCCCGCACCATTCCTTAGTTTTTGAAGCTACTTGTCTTTTGATAATAGGTGAACCTGAGGTCATATTCAATAAATTTCCTTAATTTAGTAAGTTGGACATCGATGTTCCTACTGTGTGTGGAATTCCAGATTTAGTCCTATTGGAGACTACACATTAAATAGTAATTTAGGGTCCATATACAATTTAATTGTTCAAGCCAGTCAGTGGTCTATGCAATTGATCATTGCCTGCTTTCTGTGCATGGAATGAAGTATTCCCCAGCATGTACACAACTTTTTCTTTCTGATTATTTACTTATAGTGTAACTTGTTTTATTAGTCCTGTAAGAGGATGTCTTAATTACTGCTCTAGATAATTATGCTTCTTAAAGGGACACTATAGTCACTTGAACAACTTTAGCTTAATGAAGCAGTTTTGGTGTATAGAACATGCCCCTGTAGCCTCACTGCTCAATCCTCTGCCATTTAGGAGTTAAATCCCTTTGTTTATGAACCCTAGTCACACCTCCCTGCATGTGACTCGCACAGCCTTCCATAAACACTTCCTGTAAAGAGAGCCCTATTTAGGCTTTCTTTATTGCAAGTTCTGTTTAATTAAGATTTTCTTATCCCCTCCAATGTTAATAGCTTGCTAGACCCTGCAAGAGCCTCCTGTATGTGATTAAAGTTCATATTAGAGATTGAGATACAATTATTTAAAGTAAATTACATCTGTATGAAAGTGAAACTAGTTTTTTTTTTTCATGCAGACTCTGTCAATCATAGCCGGAGAGGTGTGGCTAGGGCTGCATAAACATAAACAAAGTGATTTAACTCCTAAATGACAGTGAATTGAGCAGTGAAATTGCAGGGGAATGATCTATACACTAAAACTGCTTTATTTAAGTGACTATAGTGTTCCTTTAACACCCTGGGTCACAACTTGAAATTTGTTCTCTATGCTAATTTAAACAGGTCCCCTATAGTTGGAGCAGAAACATCACAACATCAGGAGGCATGAAAACAGAACGGGTTAGGACATGCCCTTTCTATATGTAGTATCAATACCAAGGATTGACTACATCTCCCATAATGCTCTTAGAGCTATAATGCTGACATAGCATCAGGGGAGACATAGTCCACAAAATCTGGAGTGCCGAAGGTTGTCCACCCTTGGACACCCACAGCACTCTAGACTCAAAGCTTGCGACCATCTTATCTGGTTCCTTTTGTCACACAGTTATTATTGTACATCTTGGATAATGGACAGTTGTGTGGGACCATTGTGATGCTTATTATGAACTCATACTGTTGAGAGGGGGTGCATCAATATAACCTTTTTGTTGTTTTTATTTGCTCGGTGCTTTTTTTTATCTGCCTGTGCTGTATGCATGTTGCTCTACTACAATATCATGGTTGCTTTCACATAGTCTTCCATCTAACTTCACGTGGGGTGTGTTTATTTTTGAATAATATTTAATAAATATCCAGATATTATATGAGCGCTCCCTTTATATAATGTGGTTAAGGATATTAAAGATTGTTGCGTACTTGGTGCCTTGGCGTTGATCCGGTAATAATGACTGAACGGCTCCCAGGCTGTCTGAACAGCCCAGGAGCCAATCACAGTAATCATTCAGCATATGGGGGCAATCTACTAAACAGTTCATTGTTAGGGTTACGGGTAGCAAGGAGCGGGGTTAGCGATGGTTAGGGTAAGAACCTCTGTTTAAATAATCCTTACATACCAACATATACTTACCATCATGAAACCCAAAAACCTAATATAAAAAAATTCTGATTACTCAATTGAACATCAGGCAGGGTTTCTACACCCATTCGTTTAAAGTTTTTTTGGGACGGGTTATTTAATGTTTTCTTTTTTTTATATAAAGTTATTTTTATCCAGACCTAGAAATATTTTTTTTTAATATTGATTTATAAAAAGCAGTTGTGGAGAGCTTTTTTAAAAAAAAGAATGTAAAATTGAATATTCCTGCAGATTTCTCAATTTTTTGCTCTGATATTTTTTTTATAAATAGCTCTCATTGTCTGATGTTCATGTCCATGAAATGTCCATTCAATAACTTCTAGCTCCCCCCCCCCCACACACACATCCTCAGCACAACCTCTAGCAGGCAGCCTGCAGATTAAAACCAATCGGCCCATCTGGTTGGTCCTTACTGGAATGTCAGATGGATTTTTCGGACATTGCAGCAGGAAGTCCGTAGTTTAATCTGCTTTGTGGCAGATTAAACATATAGGGAAATGTGTACGTAAGTTGCGCCATGCAAATTTTCACATTGTGAGTACACAGCCTTATCTCCAGATCAGAACCAGAGGATTTCAATGTTAGAATCATGTATGTCATCTTTTGACATTGTGAGGGCCCGTACCAACATTACAGCCATGACTTGCTTAACTTGTATTTCCATAACATATTTGCACTAGCCGTACAAGAAAGATCTGTCAGACCTGAATGCGAAACATACTCTGGACTCATTCCTAGCCTGATCATTTTTTATTTTAACATTTCTCACCGTGGTAAAATAATGCAACTTTTCTACTGTATGACATTGTTTTCCTCCCATGAATTAAATTAACGACAGGGAACCTGAATCATCTACCAAAACGTGTCACCCCTTTCAGGCAGAATACTGATGCCTCTCACCTTTCCCTGTTGAGCTTGGCACAGATATTCTGAGATTTCTGGGCATGGCTCCTGGTGTGTTAGGATAAGATCCTGTTGGGACAGGCCCAGGATCTGTTTCCTCTGTGATAGAATGAAAGGAAATGTCATTTGGATAGTGTATAAAATTAACCTGGTTTCCACCTGTTGTCCTAGAATACCAGGTTTTAGTTTGTCCTAATAATGGATAATAATGTTATCTTATTTAAGACTCGGAACTGGCTAAACACCATGAGAAATGTTCACGAACATCTGCAGTACTGGATGCCTTTCATTGTCAACTACTGTATTATAAAATTGTGGCCAAAAGAACCAATTTTAATGAACTGGAGAGATGGAAAATTTTGCTGGGATTTATTTTCGCCTATGTTTAACCTTTTGATGCAGATCCCTTGAGGTTCACAGTGACATGCTTCTTAACAGTGCTGGATTTGGTGAACAGTCCTGAATTTAGGTCTCAGTTTCCCCGTCTCGGGTTTGATTTCTGGTGTCCTGCTTTTGGGAAAGCTAGAGACATGTTCCTGTTAACCACAGCTACAGCAGATCAAGAGGCACAGGTTAATCTTCTGCCGCATCATCAGAACACACAAAGCATTACTGGGACGTACCTAAACTGTACATATTTCATGGTTTCAGTCTTATACCCGCCACTAGAATAGATAGAATGATATGCCCCAGCTTACTGAATCAACTGCTCAGCTGTGGGGTTTATTAATTGAACAAATGGTGAATTGAAAACTGAATTGCAAACGTCAGGCTATAATAGCTAACCAGGACTCAATTTTACAATCCAGGTTCCATTCACCATTTTTTAAACCAACGAAGGGCAATTAGCGAGACACTTAAATTAGAGTGTAACTTTGCTTTTCTAAAAGGGATCTCTCATCATTTCATATGCTTACATTCTGGGACCACCATGTTGGCGTGATATGCACATTTTGGCCTCTTTATTAATTTACTCCTTGTAAATTGCTTCCCAATGAATAACAAGCAAAGAACTGGTCAATGTGCACTTAAATGTTGCTGAACAATGGGCATGGACATCTTTTGGAGTTCTGTATTTTGCTCTTAACTCCTGGTGTAATAAGTCTGGTATATCTGTACAATCAGCTTGAGTTTCTGGGAGTATTAAGAATTCTAGGAAACCTTTTAGGCATTACGATCAAAGACATATCTATCTGATAATTCAGACCTTTTGTTACCATTTGAATATTGACATCCAGGACCACGACATACTAAAAGAATGCTTGTTTGTTGGTATACAATTACACGTCGTTGTTCATAAAAAAATAAATAAAGTAAAATACTGAAATATAGTGAATTTTTAAAAATAGGCTTTAGTGAGGCATCATTATTAACTGTACTAAGTTACAGAATTTTTCCAATCATCTGTTTTGTCACTTTTCTATTTACTACAATTAGGTGCTTAGAAAACAAACTCCATGGACTTCAAGCTTAACAGGGACACTGCTGGCATTGTAACCATTTAATTTCATTAAATTAATTATAGGGCCTGGAGTCATCTGGCATTGTCGAACCATTTTCAAACAGTTTAGCACAAAATAAACATCCCTGGCCACCCACAGCCCAGCCCCAACTGGAGGCATTAGATTACACACTTCCTTCTAGACCGACCGATTGATACAGCAATGAGTGCTGTGATAGGCAGACACTCTCAGCCAAACACAAGCGCTCAAGCAAATACTTCCTGATCAGGCCAAACAGCACACACAGGATGAGTTGCTGAAGGTTCTCTTTAAAGGACCACTATAGGCACCCAGACCACTTCAGCTTAATGAAGTGGTCTGGGTGCCAGGTCCAGCTGGTCCCCCCTTTTTTATAAACATAGCAGTTTCAGAGAAACTGCTGTGTTTATAAATGGGTTAATCCAGCCTCTAGTGGCTGTCTCATTGACAGCCGCTAGAGGCGCTTCTCACTGTGAATTTCACAGTGAGAAGACGCCAGCGTCCATAGGAAAGCATTGTCAATGCTTTCCTATGGACTGGCTGAATGCGCATGCGGCTCCTGCCGCGCATGCGCATTCACCCGAAGAGGAGGAGAGTTCCCCGCCCGGCGCTGGAGAAAGAGGTCTCCCCAGAGCCCAGCGGGAAGGGGACCCCGAGGGTCGGGGAAACCCTCAGGGCACTATAGTGGTCCTTTAAGCTATAAAGCATTAAACCAGGCTTCCCCAAGCTCCAGCCCTCCAGATGTAGCTGAACTACAACTCCCATGATTCTCAGCCTATCCATTTCATTCATAGAATCATGGGCGTTGTAGTTCAGCAACATCTGGAGGGCTGGAGTTTGGGGAAGCCTGCATTAAACAGTTTAACTGAATCAAAGGATGGCGCAAGGTGTATTCAGACACTAAGTTCTTCAATGAGATGACGCAGTTACGGTGTCTATTTTAATTCATTATGCCCTAGATTTTTTTCCATTTAGGTCAATGGGAGAAGTGTTATTCCTTTACCAGAGTTTAGTTTTTTCTCTAGTAATAGAATCCAACCCTGCGTGTGCTGTATGGTTCTACAATGTTTATGTACTAGAAGAATATCAGGTGCTGCATTTGTTCACAGAATGTGATAACCACGAGTCAGAATACAAAAACAAAGAGGGTTTATTTCAGGTTTGGGCAAGGAATGCAGTGGAATGGACAAAAACTGATCAAAGATTCAGGAATATCTCCCTTTTGTTGTCATCCTGGAAGTTTTGTTGAATTAGGCTGCTATATGGGATCCGGGTTCCATCACTTTTTCATATGTCGGGTGTAATAGTCATTGCATGCGATGACAAGGCCTGCCATGAGAGAGAAGTAGCTATGGAAATTCACATGGCCATCACGGCACTGATCCAGGTCCTTCATGATTTTATCCACAGCCAGTGGGTCATTCTGGTTCTGGTTTGGAGAGAAGAGGTTTTGGTCAGTAATCAGAAAATGTAAAGTGAATAGATAGTTATTTATTTTATCTCTTCACTGGCCAGGGTAGGGGGACTACGGTTTGGTTGTTCCCCTGCCCACCTAGGCTAGCACTTATTCTCAGCATCAAATATCAGCTGGTTAGGGAAGTGTTTGTAAGACGGACAGACAGACAGACACACACACACACACACCTTGTTTGAGCAAGCCTTCTTCATCTTTACCACTCACCCTGTCAAATATCCCCTTTCTATACAAGTAGTAATACTAATTGACCGGTGCTAGCTGAATATGAATTCAAGTGTTACAAAATAACCAGATGATACAACAATAATAGGGTACAATGGACATCTGTTTCGACAAAAAAAAGTAACCAGTGGACTAAGACAGCTGTGCTCAAGTAAGATTGCACCTTCTAAAAAAAAAAAAAAATTCTTCAGCCCTGATCCACATTTTTTTTTGTTTGACACCCCACTCATCAGGCCATTGGACAATGTTATCAGTAACATTATTATGTTATGGGTGGGGCATTCCTAGCTTACATTAGTTTGGGAAAATAAAAGTAAAGAGAAGTGATTACAGCCACTCATAGTACAGCATCCCCTTCTCAGAGAGATATGCAACATACAGACATTATGTTTCACACCTGCTGCATGTTCTGCAATAGGTCACAATTAACATCTTGCACTCTAATAGGGGCATTGACCAAAAGTGAGAACTATTGAAAAGTCAACATGAATTTCACATTTAAGGCCAAAATAGTGAAACTGGAGAAATTCTCCAAGTCAGCTATGGTCTTGCTTACTTTGACCTTAAATGCACTTTGATTTCCCAACAATTCATGGCTTCAATTTTTTACCTTGTTCTTCACCCCACACTGGTTACACCCAGGGAAGGTGTAAAATCATAAATCTATAGTGAGAGACATGATGGGGCTTGCAGGAGAAGCCTGTCTTATTTCAAGTCAGAATTGAGCTTTTATGGAAAGGCTTATCAGAGGTATAGAGACCTGTATATGAGATGACTTTATTAGTAAATCATACATGGCTACCAGAGGACACTGCAGGCCTTTATACTTTAATGACGGAGCAGTCAGCCATGGCTTACCAGCTGGAAATGGACAAGAGCTCCCAGATACCTCTGGCTTCCAAAAAGGCAGCATGTGGCTGACAGAGGTTTTTCTGAGCTCTATATATTTATGTCTGCTCATTATCAGTATAGCCTGTGGATTTTGTGTTTTATAATCAGGCATTTATGCGGCAAAGTGCTAATAGCAGATGAAGTTACTATGGAAAGATTTATCAAAGTGTTTCGCTCTAAAAAGTGATCTAAAATTCTAAAAGTGGTGCGATCACCATGGAAACCAGCAGCCACATTCCATCAGTGACTCAGTCTTCTTTTACATTTTTGCACCACTTTTTTAGAACACAATACTTTGACAAATCTTGCCCAGAGTCTGATTAATCCATTTTTAGTAATCTACCCCAGAATTGCCTTATATACAGATTTCCCAACGTGTCCCACAATAACGGTATCTTAGACCCACCTTCAGGAACTCTGCAAATTCGTTCTGCATTAGCCTCTGCAGATCATCTCTGTTCAAGTAATCTTTGCCCCCAGCATATTTATGGAAAGTCATCATGAATGTCTCCATCGCATGTTCCAGTTCAGAAGGGACCACCATTTTTGCAGATTTCTAATGTGCTTCCTGTAAGATAGAAATGAGCAGATATCAGTCAACCTGACCATATCTGTTAAACCCAACCATTAATGAAGTGCTCTGGGTGCCAGGTCCTTCTAGGGTTAACCCATTTTTTCATAATTATAGCAGTTTCAGAGAAACTGCTATAATTATGAATGGGTTAAGCCTTCCCCCTAATCCTCTAGTGGCTGTCTCATTGGCAGCCACTAGAGGCGCTTGCGTGCTTCTCACTGTGAAAATCACAGTGAGAGCACGCCAGCGTCCATAGGAAAGCATTGTAAATGCTTTCCTATGAGACCGGCTGAATGCGCGCGCAGCTCTTGCCGCGCGTGCGCATTCAGCCGGCGGGGCGTAACGGAGGCGGAGAGGAGGAGGAGAGCTCTCCGCCCAGCGCTGGAAAAAGGTAAGTTTTTACCCCTTTCCCCTTCCAGAGCCGGGCGGGAGGGGGACCCTGAGGGTGGGGGCACCCTCAGGGCACTATAGTGCCAGGAAAACGAGTATGTTTTCCTGGCACTATAGTGGTCCTTTAAGCCCCGCTTCTAAACGTTCCCTATTATCTACATTGTCTTGAGGAATTCCCCCGAAAATAGACCAGTTCACTATGGCATGGAACCCTGCAAATCTATGTTGGGGGAAAATTCCCCGAACATAGATTAGCGAACTAGCAACTAGGGCTTATTTTCGGGGAAAAACTGTAATAGCAGTTCTCCCATTGACATCTATGAACTCAATTACCCAAGGTATGTTTATTCATATAATAAAATCTCCCCGTCATTAACAAATGTTTTATATGAATATAAAGCGTTGCACTATGTGGAGCGGTTCTGCAATATCTCATTCATTAGCTGGTACTTAAACCTACATTCAAATAACAGATATTGCCCTAAGCACTCCCTGCAGCTTGTGTGCTGCTAAAGCTGAACATTTAGGCTACAATTCACTCCCTCTAATAATATGTTTCCAGGAGGTTAGTACTGTGAGACCGTTATTATCCCAATGGATTAAAGTGCATCTAATGTAAACCTAATCTTCAATTTGCCGGTTGTTACTTTGGTAGGAATTATTCTAATTCAGTTAGTGAGCAGAGGAAGCTACGAGCGTTCTGCCAGGATAAATAAAGGAAGTGATCACTGTGCATATGTACCCACTGAATAATTCTCTGTATCACCGAGTAGCCCAACACATATACTCAGATTATCTTTCACCCTCTGATTGGGGAGTTGTCCGATTTGTTGCCACTAGTCACTAACTTAGAGGTGCTACTGCCGTACAGTGTTGTATAAACCAGATGCATCCGTTTTGAAGAAAGTTTACAAACTCTAATTTAAAGCAATATTAGGGCATGATGCCCACTTGTAAAGAGGTGGGTGTAAGGGCATGTGTTACCCGCTGTATCTATGCAGACAGAGAGCGCTTTGCCCAGCTTCCCCTAAAAGCAGGGTGTGGCTCCGGAAAAAAGCAATAATTCATCACTTGTAATATGTATCTTTCAGAAACACCCTCTGTTTTAACCCCGTGAGTGTGACTACCAATGTCTCATCCCTCAGGCACCTGGAGAAGGAAAGAGGAAGCGAGGTCACCCGCCCTAACTTGAAGCTTAGAATGTGGTTTAATGATATCATAGTATACACAATCTATCCACGCAGCGTCTGTATGTGCCAGTCTGATTTTTTTGTACAGCCTGTTGTTGCGTGTACGTGTGTTTATTTACATATGCATACATAGACACACGCACACCCTTCCAAATGAAACATCTGTGTGGACTACAACTCCCATTATGCTCAATCATCTAAATAGAAACCGTAGCTGACATCCATCCAGTTTCCGTGCCACGCCGAGTTATGGCGACCCAAGATCAGTAATAATTTCCAGACCCAGCCAGTAGAATTAATGTTTTCAGATGATGATCAGGTGAAGGCTGGCAATTTTTGTCATTGGAGTAGGGGCAAATACAAATGCATGGGCTTTTTTCACACAAGACTTGCAGATCTCTGCCTGAATGGTGCTACTCTGGTTTGACAAACAGACGCTGCTAGAGTTACAAAGTGTAACATCAGATGCCTCCATTCTTATGATCTACAGTACCAGGCTTCCCCAAACTCCGGCCCTCCAGGTGTTGCTGAACTACAACTCCCATGATTCTAGGAATGAAACAGGCTGAGAATCATGGGAGTTGTAGTTCAGAAACATTTGGGGAAGCCTGATTTACACAGTGTGATGTAGAACTCATATCATATTGATAAACTGTTTGCCATAACTCCATGTCCATCAATGACAGCCTGCGTGTTTTAGGAGTGAGCACTGTCTCATATCACCCTGCGGTCACTAGCAAACACCTCCTGAGACTTCATACGTACTCTACTCATCACAGTCTGTCAGCCAGGTGAGCCCCAGACATTGCAACCCACTGGGAAATATGCTAGTGGGCCAGTGCAGGCTTGGAGAACACGGAGATTGTGAGCCACTAGCCCCGGTTGCCCAAAGGTAGATCCCCAGATGTTTTGAAACTACAGCTTCCATGATGCTTTGTCATTCTAAAGGCATGCAACGCATCATGGGAGTTGTAGTTCTAAAACATCTTGGGATCTACCAATTGGACACCTCTGCCTAAGCTTGTGCACAATTCTTGTTAGTATTGGGCTAGCAAGGGACCTACACAAAACCTGCCTTCTTATTAACCCCTACAGTACTCTGTCATCATATTCCCTGAATCCCTGTGTATATCCAGCTATTTTAATTCACCTGAAGCCACAACCCATATATGCTAGTGGGCCAACGGACGGCTGCCCCCTCCCATAAATGTTTTTGTCAGTGGGGGCATGTGAGATGTTACATGAATTGATTTTTGTTGATAAGATTTATCAGTAAGGGCAGTACTGAGGATGGAAGGGGGAGAGGCACTGTTATTAACCTAAGCCATGTAATGATTGCACCAGTGTTATGGCCCCTATTTAACATTACAATAGTTCCAAAAACAATACTTTAAGCCCAGAATGTTTTTCCAGCCTTGCTGTTCCTTGTCCAGTTATTCTGACCTCCCAGTACCCCTTTCAGGGGAAGACAATGAACTGACCTGATAAATATAGGGTGTGGATACAGTGTTTTATCAGGAAGACTTAAGGGTTTCATTGTTACACAGTAAAATCAAAATTAAGGTTAAAATAGACCAGCTGTAATTATAGCAAAGTTATAGGAGTTTTCCTGAACAGCTGGTTCTGCCTACGGATTTCACTTCATTAAATCCAGAGTTTAGTGAATAAGCCATATAATAAGGGATACCAGTATACAAGGTAAATCTATGGCAGTATTAAAGATTGTTTATTTATATGGGAGTTTGGGTAAAGAAATGGTCCAAGTTTAAAATTGTATGTTACACTGGTTAAAGTGAAGAATGCAGTTTACATTTTAATATCAGTCCCCAGAGTGCATTTAAAAAAAAAAAAAACACAACTATAACTAGATACAAAAACACACACACACACACACACACACAAAAACAAAAAACCTATGCATTCGACCTCCCAAGGACAACACAGTGGGGCCTTTACAAAATAAATGTGTTGACCTATGGGCCCTTACTCATGCTCCTCAATTCCCTTCCTTTTCTGAGGACTTTGTTGCACACAAACAAGGTGAGATTTGCCATAAATGCATAATGAATTACAAATTTAAGGCCAAAATAGTCAAATTGAAAACTGACTGAGAATTTTTCAAAATCCGCTATTTTGGCCTAAATGTGTGAAATCCACTTTGAATTCCTGGCAACTCTCACTATAAGATAGTTACACAGTGCTTAGCCTGCACCCCTGTAACCCACCCTCTTTCCAGCCTCAGGTGATGGTCATATCTGACTGGCAGTGAAGCAGGCGTGGGCTCTTGTATTCGCTGTAGATGGAAACTTACTAAAGGGGGGAATAATATACTCTATGGAACACTAATTTCCATTATTTCCCATCTTCCAAAGAAATGTTTCCATGTCAAGTACAGTACTAAACCAGGTGACACCTCTTACTGAATGCATGCTTTGTATTGTGTGTTGTTGTTTGTTTTCCACTGTATAAATAAAGATTGTTTAAACCCCTCAGCAGTCCAGTACCTGGGAGTAGATTGATAAAGATGTAGCAGCTATTAATAGAGATACAAATGTAATGGGAAGAGTAGGGAGAAGAACATGGAGAGGATAATATGAATTGTATTCCACAGAAATCTGCCAGAGGCTGCATCCCAGTGTACAATACATAAAGGGCAACGTGGACCCATAATCACCGCAGGCTCTATGCGATATATTGAGAATCAGTGAGGAATGGCATCCAGGAGCAGGTGAGGTGGGGCTCCCATTCCACCAATGACTATCTGTTCTCAGGAATAATTCCAGGAATCCCAGGAATTCAGAATGCCTCACCCCATTCACCACCCAGAGATAAACACTCTCCATGGGAAATTCACTGTCTGTACACAGGGTCACCGCGCAGAGTGTGGAACTCATCCAAACTATTACACAGTATGTCCTGGCAAGGTGCATCGCCACCGACACCATCACATCTACTCATACAGCTGGCCGCCGTCACCACCTACAATCTGTAACGTCCCCCTCACTCAAACTAGTCCACAGGGTCACTTAACATGCACTGCCACCACGTTACCATGCAGGGTACCCACCCCAATCTATCACCACAGCGGTCACATTACAGGGTGCCTACCCCAATCTTTTACCACAGCGGGTCACCTTGCTGGGTACCTACCCCAATCTTTTACCACAGCAGGTTACATTACAGGGTACCTACCCTAATCTTATACCACAGCAGGTCACCTTGCTGGGTACCTACACCAATCTATCACCACAGCGGGTCACATTACAGGGTGCCTACCCCAATCTTTTACCACAGCGGGTCACCTTGCTGGACACCTACCCCAATCTTTTACCACAGCAGGTTACATTACAGGGTACCTACCCTAATCTTATACCACAGCAGGTCACCTTGCTGGGTACCTACACCAATCTATCACCACAGCGGGTCACATTACAGGGTGCCTACCCCAATCTTTTACCACAGCGGGTCACCTTGCTGGACACCTACCCCAATCTTTTACCACAGCAGGTTACATTACAGGGTACCTACCCTAATCTTATACCACAGCAGGTCACCTTGCTGGGTACCTACACCAATCTTTTACCACAGCGGGTCACATTTCAGGGTACTTACCCTAATCTTTTACCACAGCGGGTCACATTGCACGGTACCTACCCTAATCTTTTACCACAGCGGGTCACATTACAGGGTACCTACCCCAATCTTTTACCACAGCAGGTCACCTTGCTGGGTACCTACCCCAATCTTTTACCACATCGGGTCCCATTCCAGGGTACCTACCCTAATCTTTTACCACAGCGGGTCACATTACAGGGTACCTACCCCAATCTTTTACCACAGCGGGTCACCTTGCTGGGTACCTACCCCAATCTTTTACCACAGCGGGTCACATTACAGGGTACCCACCCCAATCTATCACCACAGCGGGTCACATTACAGGGTACCTACCGCAATCTTTTACCACAGCGGGTCACCTTGCTGGGTACCTACCCTAATCTTTTACCACAGCGGGTCACATTGCTGGGTACCTACACCAATCTTTTACCACAGCGGGTCACATTACAGGGTACCTACCGCAATCTTTTACCACAGCGGGTCACCTTGCTGGGTACCTACCCTAATCTTTTACCACAGCGGGTCACATTGCTGGGTACCTATACCAATCTTTTACCACAGCGGGTCACATTACAGGGTACCTACCGCAATCTTTTACCACAGCGGGTCACCTTGCTGGGTACCTACCCTAATCTTTTACCACAGCGGGTCACATTGCATGGTACCTACCCTAATCTTTTACCACAGCAGGTCACCTTGCTGGATACCTACACCAATCTTTTACCACAGCAGGTCACATTTCAGGGTACCTACCCCAATCTTTTACCACAGCAGGTCACCTTGCTGGGTACCTACCCCAATCTTTCACCATAGCGGGCCACATTACAGGGTACCTACCGCAATCTTTTACCACAGCTTGTCACATTACAGGGTACCTACCTCTATTCAATTATTACCACAGCTTGTCACATTGCAGGATACCTACCACTATTCAATCTATCACCACAGCTGGTCACATTACAGGATACCTACCACTATTCAATCTTTACCCACAGCTGGTCACATTACAGGATACCTACCTACTATCCAATCTATCACCACAGCTGGTCACATTACAGGATACCTACCTACTATCCAATCTATCACCACAGCTAGTCACATTACAGGATACCTATCTACTATCCAATCTATCACCACAGCTAGTCACATTACAGGATACCTACCTACTATCCAATCTATCACCACAGCTGGTCACATTACAGGGTACCTACCGCAATCTTTTACCACAGCTGGTCACATTACAGGATACCTACCTACTATCCAATCTATCACCACAGCTAGTCACATTACAGGATAACTACCACTATTCAATCTTTACCCACAGCTGGTTACATTACAGGATACCTACCTACTATCCAATCTATCACCACAGCTTGTCACATTACAGGATACCTACCACAGCTAGTCACATTACAGGATACCTACCTACTATCCAATCTATCACCACAGCTAGTCACATTACAGGATACCCACTATTCAATCTTTACCCACAGCTACATTACAGGATACCTAACTCTCTATCACCACAGCTAGTCACATTACAGGATACCTACCTACTATCCAATCTATCACCACAGCTAGTCACATTACAGGATACCTACCTACTATCCAATCTATCACCACAGCTAGTCACATTACAGGATACCTACCTACTATCCAATCTATCACCACAACTAGTCACATTACAGGATACCTACCACTATTTAATCTTTACCCACAGCTGGTCACATTACAGGATACCTACCTACTATCCAATCTATCATCACAGCTAGTCACATTACAGGATACCTACCTACTATCCAATCTATCACCACAGCTAGTCACATTACAGGATACCTACCTACTATCCAATCTATCACCACAGCTAGTCACATTACAGGATACCTACCCTAATCCAATCTATCACCACAGCTAATCACATTACAGGATACCTACCACTATTCAATCTATCACCACAGCTAGTCACATTACAGGATACCTACCTACTATTCAATCTATCACCACAGCTAGTCACATTACAGGATACCTACCTACTATTCAATCTATCACCACAGCTGGTCACATTACAGGATACCTACCACTATTCAATCTTTACCCACAGCTGGTCACATTACAGGGTACCTACCCTAATCCAATCTATCAACGCAGCTTGCTCCAGGGTCACCTTGCAAGGTACCTACCTCTCTCCAATTGGTCACCACAGGTAATACAACCGAAGCCCCACCTAAAATATTTTCCTATCCAACAAAAACAAATGTGATTTTGGTTGAATGTAGGACTTTCAATGTTAACAATATTTTTCAAATCCCAAGTAATCTGCAGAGAATCTCTATGCAGCAGAGCTTCCAATCACTGCCACACCCAACGAGTCGCAGGACCAACTCTGCTTTCAAAGCTGGTTTACCGAAACTCTGATATATCTGTTATGCTGCCTTTATATTGGCTATATCTAATAGTCCCAGAGCTGCTGGGTGATCTGTGATATCACATATACCGGTAAATTTACTGGAAATAATCTCTTTTCTCTTTCAGAGCCCATTGAAAGTTTTGTGGAATACAGATATCCCATAATAATCCTGGCAAAAAAAACCCTGCAAAACTGAACTGTTGCTGCAGCAAAAGGTACCACTCCCTTTACACTGAATATGAAGTCATAGGATTTACACAACTGAAAACACCTTAACCCCTTAAATGACCAGTAACGGTCCATGCTGTCAAAACAATAAGTCCTTTAAAGACCCTATTCCAAAATGGACTTCCTTGGTTATCCAGTTACATCAGTGCCATGCGGATGTGCTGATGCTTTATAAACAGAACATTCCACATTTGCAAAAGGTTTTCAAGGACCAGTTTGTGATGGGAGCAGAAAATATCACTGGCCATTAAAGGGATAATAATCAATTTACTCAAGAGGTGATAGCTATCTAATAATATTAATAATAATAATGAGAGTAACACCCATTTTGAAAGCAAAGCAGATGAAATACATCATTGTAGCTAAAGGGCAGGACAAAGGTTACTGCTAACTACAACACCCATGATCCTCAGCCAGATAATTGACATCAATTCCAGAGGTATGTGTAGGTAGCATATGCCCTAAATCAGAGGTGCCTAAAAGCTAGAACCCCAGATGTTGTAAAACCACAACTCCAATGATGCTTTGCCCTAAGTCGTATCTGAATAACTGACTGCCAGCTGTCACCACACAGTTAATTTCTGAAGGGTTTCCACTATTATTATTATTGCCATTTATATAACACCAACAGATTCAGTAGCGCTTTACATTATGAGAGGGGGGATTTAACTATAAATTGGACAATTACAAGAAAACTTACAGGAACAATAGGTCGAAGAGGACCCTCTTGTTCATATACGTCAAACTTGTGTTACTGAATTTACTGTGCGTCAGATCCAGCCATTATACAGTGCTGCGGAGTAATGATGTTGATAGGGGCTGTTGTCGAATTCTGGCCTGCTCAAGTGGCTTAATGCAGGAACCCACATTGTCGGCTCATGCACTATATTTCTAATGTCTGCCTTTATCTCCATGTAGCATCCCTTGTGACCGCTAATGCCATATATAGGCTGAGACACTAGCAATATCTAGAACTGTATTTGTTTTCATTGTGTATGTAAAGCACTAATTACAGCCTTTTCTATAATACCTCTGTAGCCTGTGACTTAAAAGGTATTTTTTGTGGCCCAAATACTAATAGAGCAAGATGGTGGGTAACAGAACTTTTCAAAAGCCTCAGAGTTCTCGAATTCAGATATCATAAATGAAAGGGTGACAAGAGTAAACTGTACATGAAAATTAGTCAGTGCAGGAAACCAATTAATGCATTGCCTACAGCCTGAGGTGTGAACAGGAAAGAGGTAAGATGGAATATTCACACCTTCACTGCTCTGTGTGTTATACACTAAAATATATACCAACCATAACAGCCGTCTCTGGGACCAATATGGCATAATATCGTTATTTTATTTCTGCAGCACTGAACAATGGGTTCGCATAGAAAAAAATAAATAAAATAAATATATATATCTATATCTATATCTATATCTATATATATATATATATATATATATATATATTTATAGATAGTCACACCCTGAGCATGCTTGTCAATAGTGGATCTGCTGTCAGGATCTAAATGTATTTGAACTCAAAGTCTTGCAAGATTTGAAAACGTAGCTGATTATGTGTGCAGTCTTTTATGATGGGAACATTCTAAGCACCACAACCATGACAGCGCACTGTAGTGATAATGGTGGCCCCCACGTAAGTAGTCAATGCATTAGGTAGCTGTTTGACCTCGTAGCTGTTGCCCGCCGTGTGCCACTCCCTTTCTACCTCGAAGCTCTCTGGAGGTGCAGGACTTAGCTCAATGGCTGAGAGTGATCAGCTGCGGAGGGGAGCAGCGTCCAGCGGACCCGTGAATTAAGTAAAACTGTGACCAAGCGGTTTGACTACTTACATTGTAGGGCACTGAAGTGGTTATGGTACTTTGAGTGTTTCTTTAAGGTGCAAAATATGTAAACAGGATAGAATTGTTACCAAACATGTTTGTCATCAGTAAAAAAGAAAAAAAAGCGATGATGACACAGTCTGCACTTTTTAACACACAGGGATATCTAATAAAGTGAGAATACTAAGTGAATTAGAAATTCTTTCTTTAAGACTCAGCATTCGAAACTCCCTTCGAATATCCCCCAATTCGATCTTTAGTGAATAGCTCGCAATATGAACTGGGCAGGGGCACTGTCTCTCAGCTGGTACATTACAGAGGATACGAGCAAGCAGCAGGGTGTGGTCTCTAAACTCCTCCAACGCAGCCCTGGTATTGCTGGACTATGGAACCCTGGGGATTAGCCCGTTATCCAGCGTCAGCCGACAGACACTCCCTTGCAGACAAACTTTATTGCAACATTGTAACAGAGGTTCTAGAACGCTGCACCGGCTGCTGAGCTGTGTACTGCGCCACTACAACGTCCTGATCTAATCCTCACCCATTATCTCCCCTCCTATACACACTTTGATAGTAATGTATAACCTGAGTTACAGAGCCTGCAGGCAGTGAACAGGTTAACATGAGGCTGGACCTGGGAGGAGAAACGGGATTTTAGATCCTGTCTGAAGGAGGAGCAGCACAGGGTGTGTCCTAGCAGAGAGGGTGCAAGGAGTGTGCCCCGTGCAAAATGTACCGTCACAGGCCCTTAACACCACTTCCATTAAAAGGAACAGCATGCAGTGACAATAAGGGTCAGATACCGCCTCCAGGCTAGTGATAAGAGCCCAGGAACTGTGCCTTCCTTGTGATAGTATGGGAGGTGTGACTTGCTAGGTTAACACTGTTTCTGATCTGTTAGTTTTTGCCTACACTTTATTCTGTGTATAAAAAGATGTGTTCCCCTGCACCTCCAATGTATCCTTTCCAGTCTATAGTAACAGCTAGGGGGATCTACCTTCGCCCTACTCTGATAAAAAAAAGTGTCTAGTTACAAAGATGCCTTATTAACTCACCCTACAAGCAGCCAGAACAGGCATAGTAAGAAAATAAAACAACCATGGGGCTTGTCATACTGCACCAGCCAGCCATATTTTGTTGGATTACACCTCTCATTCTTTGCCAGCAAAATATTAAGCATATTCTAAAATAAACATTTGGAGGTTTCAATGAGGTATAAACTTTGCTCTATATTGAAAAATTTGGAGGAACGTGTGTGTGATAACATCCTCCCGTTTCCATAGCTACCCAGTCCCCCTTGTACTATCAACCAAATACTGCACCAAACCCTGGCCCACACTCTCAGAACGGTAACAATTCAGCTCCAGCACTGAAAGGGTTACTATACCCAAATAATGGACTCAGATGATGTTTGCATGATGCCAAGATAGGCGCACTCTAACATGCACCCACTAACTTCTCAATAAATTACATCTCCAGTGTTGTCCTTATTCTCGTTAGTATTCTGCGACTTTAATTATGCAATTTGTATTCTCTGTAGTTATTGATTTAACACTTTTAGGTAGTCGTGGAGTGCAGTTTTTAGTATGTCCCAGATGTGCCCACTGACCTGATATTCCTAGAATTACAAACTGAACTCACCTTGTAGAGGAGAGTGCTCTCAGCTGCAGGCTGTGCTCAGTGAAGTGAGGAGCAGACTGTATCTGCTGTTTGAAAAGGAGGGAAGTAACTCCCATCTACAGGGCCAGCCCCTGAAATCTGAAGCTTCTCTCTAGCTGACTCACTTACATATTCCTTGCCAATTCACCCACCCTCCTCCTCTTCACTCTCTCCCCATCTCCACTATCTGTCTCCACACCCACCCCAGCCTTGGCAAATTGCTAAGTTTTATTTATTGGGAGAGAATTTATCCTAACCCTGGAATTTCAAAGCCCTCCCACTAAGGGAGACTAGAGAATGAGGCATGTGTGAGACCAGTCAGGTAGTGCAGTGTGGCACCTGGAAGACTTTAGGGAAGAAGAAATACACCCCTCCAGGAAACTTTGGCTTTAAAGGAAGACTCCAAAGTGTCATGGATCCATAGCGGTCTTGGAGACTTATTTCTAAATCAGGCCATTTTGGCTTTAAAATTTACATAATTCACTTGGCATGCCAACTATTCTTACTTTAATGATTATAGAGAGAGAGGGATGGGGAGAGATGCTTGTTTTACAGGAATTTTAGTGTTTTTTTTTTTTTTATGCTTTATTTGTATTGACTGCAAGTTTATCAGTCTCTGATTCTATCACTCTATGGGTAAGGGCGTCAGTACACCATTTTCCATTATAGTAGTAAACTAAGTCTTTTAGGATGTTTTCCCACTAGATCAGGGGTAGTCAACCTGGTCCCTACCGCCCACTAGTGGGCGATTTGGGATTTCAGGTGGGTTTGGCAGAAAATGCTCAGTGGGCCTTCATGGCCGTGGACCAAGGCCGGCAGGGGAGATACTTTCATTTCCCCTGCCTGCCCATGCAGAGCCAGTCTTGCTGTAAGCTCTCTCAGGCCGTTGAGGATATCAAAGCTAAAACGGGACACGTTAAATGGCTGGGCACTTCATTCCAGCAGAGGGAAGGATGGACCTGGGAGGCTTTGTATTACTATGACAACGCTCCCATACAGTGCTGTGCCTGGACAGGAGAGTCAGCCTGCAGCTGGAGGAGCTGCAGGCTAAAGTGAACATGCCACTACTGGACCACCAGGGCTTGCAGCATTATGTGCCCCTCCTTGGTAAAAGGTAAGAAGACGGGAGGGTAAGATCTTAAGATAGATTTTCACAGCTATGCACCCCTGAGACACAAATAAAAATTTGCACTTGTGCTATAAACTTTGTTACTGTGGCACTGGTGGGCGGTAAGGAAATGTTACCAACAAAGATACAAAAGTGGGTGTTAGGTATTAAAATGTTGACTACCCCTGCACTAGAAGATTATTGGATTGTAAGTTTGACAGGATCTTCCATTATATTAGACAGTAAGCTCCTGGGACAAGTGCTTCACTTTTATTTCTCAGTTGTAAGTTCATAAGAGTGACTCTTTCAGTATATAATTAACGTAGAAAATCATGGATCAGAGTTTACGTTTACAGTTCTAGAATCATGTCCTATCACTTGATTGCAAGATCCTTGCATCCACTTTGTGTATTTACGAATATCTTTTTACTTACTCAATATAGCACCAACATATTTGCACTGCACTGCTGTGGCTTGTGTAATATAGTTTAGTGTGCACCCAACCTTGAGTTATTACAGTAGAATGAGTGCGTGGTATATGCCATGTTGCATATGATACAGTGGGGTGCTTACAAAAAAATAAAATATAAAAAGTTCATAAAATTACTATAAAAAGTTGAGTGTAAGGTTAGGCACACCTCTCCAGTTTGTTCAGCGTCCACCCCCCTCATCTCAGTTTCTCACAAGGCCACTGACAGAAATAGGGCATCGTTGTGCAACAGTAGGAGAGAACCCAAAACTTTTTCTTCCAATTATTTGGCTATAAAATGTATTATTTTAAATGCTATGTGTTTGTCTATGATCCTGAGGAAAGTCCAGATTGGAAAACTGGAATGCGCACTCTCCAAATAAGGTCTTTTAGCCCCAAAGAACCCAACACACCTATACATGGGTGGTATCACTGTACTCAGAAGATGTTGATTAACACATATTGGGGTGTTCTTTGGCAGTAACCCTTAAGGTTCTCCATACATAGATTCTTAAAAAGGACCACTTCAGCTCAATGAAGTGGTCTGGGTGCCAGGTCCCTCTAGTTTTAACCCTGCTATGTTTCACTGAGGGTTAATCCAGCCTCTGTGGCCTCCCTTTAATGTATTAAAATTCATGGTGTCTGGGGGTAGGCAGATAGCCACAGATAAAATATAAAAGGATTATTTAAATCCAGTTAGAATTCACCCTGAATTCCACATTTAAGATCAATATAGCCAGAACAAGACAATTGTCTAGTTTAGCTACTTTGACCTTGAAATTTAACGTTCACTTCGAATTCTAACTATCTTGTTCACAAAACTCTATCCAGCTTATACACTAAAGGTTTTGGCTAGTGGTAACTTCTAGTTATGTTTCGGAAGAGATTAAAGGACCACTCTAGGCACCCAGACCACTTCAGCTTAATGAAGTGGTCTGGGTGCCAGGTCCCTCTAGGATTAACCCCTTTTTTTTCACAGTGATAAGACGCCAGCGTCCATAGGAAAGCATTGTAAATACTTTCCTATGAGACCAGCTGAAGGCGCCGCGCATGCGCATTCAGCTGAAGGGGAGGATCGGAGGTGGAGAGCTCCCCACCCAGCGCTGGAGAAAAGGTAAGTTTAGCCCCTTTCCTCTCCCCAGAGCCCGGCAGGAGTGGGACCCTGAGGGTGGGGGCACCCTCAGGGCACTATAGTGGTCCTTCAAAGTAATTCGAGTTTGCCATCAATACAGGATATCAAATACAGTTTAAAAAAAAAAAAAAGTTTAAAAAGTGTCATTACAAATTACATTTTATTGAAAAACATTGTACATTTCCCCCTTTACATCAAAAAGATAGCTGATTTTTTTAGACCCTCTTCATATGCGCAATAAAAGAATCGTGACAAGCCACCATCATTCCGCCAATGAGATTCATAAACTCCTGGAAGTCAAGCTCTTTGTTACATTTCCCATCCACAGTTCCATCTACTGATTCCATGAGTTTGCGGACAATGTTTGGGTCCTTCTGGTTCTAGGAGGTAAACAGATCAAAACAATACATGAGATATAGATATATATTTATTTTAATGCACCCAAGGTTTGCTACTAGACCCCCTACCCATCACTAACTTGCACAACATGCTGTGATTAAAGGAACACTAACAAATAGAATGCTCAAGGGCTTTTTTGTTCTACAGTTCCCTCACTTATTCCCACTGTAAGACCATTCCAATCCAATGCCTCTCAGATAAGCACTGGTGAGCTACTGCGCATGCATTGCAAATTGCTGTACTCCAAATCGGATGCTTCTCAGTCTATGATTGCACACTGTTGGTATGGCATAAGGGAAAGTATTCTGTCCAAGGTGGTTGGGGGATCAGGATTCACTTAAAAAAATTGTTTGGAAACATTTTATTAATGAAACAGGAGACAGTGCAGCATCAATAGGACAACATTAGAGGGACACTATAGTCACTTGAACAACTTCAGCTTAATGAGGTTGTTCAGGCGCGAACTATAGCTCCCTGCAGCCTTTCTAATGTAAAGACTTTTCTGAGTAAATACAGTGTTTACATTCAAAGCTAGGGACACCTCCAATTGCAGTCACTCAGACCGCCACCAGAGGGACTTCCGAGTTGATTGAGGCATAAAACGCCTCAATTCACTCAGATCTGCTGTCAGCAGAGCTCAGGGCAGCTCTGGCAGCACTGTGCACGAGCATCCTGTCTGCGTGGGAGTGGCTTGAGCGGACAAGCTGAAGACCAGAGACCGAGGAGGGGAGAATTCAAACTTAGTGAGTGCGTGACTGGATGGATGTGGATGAGGGAGAAAGGGTGAAAGGGAAAGATCTCTATATATAATGTTTCTATGCAAACACACAGTTTGGCTGATGAGGGGGGCGGGTATAGAAAGCAAGCTGAGCGGTCAGACAGCTCAGCTTGCGAACGCGCATATGCGGTTGAGCGCCAAGTTTCTTCATAGGGCGGCATTCAATGCCGCTCTATGAAGAACGCAATTGGTGCAGCGCGAAACCGCACAAGTGCACCACATCGCGGTGCTGCTTCAAGGAGAAGCGTCCTATTGGGCCCTGCGATTTCGTCATTTTGACTAAAAAGGGGCGTGGCCTAGCGGGGAGCTTGGCGCTGGAACAGAGGTAATTTTTTTTTATTAACACTTACCTTGGATTTTTTTCTCCATGCCAAGTTCATATAAAAAGCAAGAAAGAAGGCCGGGGGACCTGTCTTTCTTGCTTTTATATGTTGAATATAGTGTCCCTTTAAGTCTTTGTGCTTACAATGCACCACCTAGTGGACATATATTTTAGATAGGCTTGCTGTAATTTTTCTTTCGTTGGCCATTTTTCGTGGCAGGATTACAATAGTTCAGAAAACGCAAACAAAAAAAAGCAAACCAAAAAACCCCACAAAACAGTCACCTCTTCATTCCGTTTAATTGTTACCAGTATCGACAATTATTTAAAATCGCTCTACAATCACCTCCAAATTACCCATGCTACCTCTTGTCTTAACTCCCCACTTTATCCTTTAGTGGCCACCAGACAGCCACTTCCTGCTGTATTAACACTGGGTGTCCTCTTGCTTTGCATGACATCCAGAGTCTTCAAGTCCCTTATAGGGCGGAGGGAGGCCTTCTGTGCGTGCTGACATTGGAGGTGGTGGAAAGGGAGCCCGAGTAGAGCAAACTCGGCGCTGGAATACGGGGAATGAATTCAATGGTTATTTAACACCTTTGAGTGCCATGGGGTACAGAGGATCACAGGGAGGGCAATCTCACTCTTCCGATCTCTCCACAATAACGTCCACAGTCCCACAGCCTGGCCAGTGTTTAGAGGAGAGAATCAGGCATATGCCAACTCAATACACTGCATTAGGTAAAGTTCTTAATATAAATCCCACAATGTGGCGGCTCTGCTAGACAGCAAATTGAACTAGTAATTCTCAACCAGACAGGAACCAGAATTCCTTTGGAAAGAGCGTTTAGTCTCCCCCTGGCAGTACCATGCTTCACATAGTAGCAGAGACTAAAAAAGGGTCTTTTTTATTCAAAATATGAAAACTGCCTGTCAACTATAAAAGAAGAAAGACCTACCTACCTAGAGAGGAGGTTCCCTTTATACTTCAACTCACACCAAGTGTTTTTCCTTTCCCACCCCACATTTGTATCAGAGATACTGCACTATATTTGTTTACTTTTATCTCATTTCATATCTAACACCACCTGAGAATCCCTTAAGGTGCTGTTCTCTCCTATCTCATATATAGTTTGTTGGACCGGAAAAGAGAGACTGGTCTGGGTTGTTTGAGCTTCCTTCAACACTTCACTATAAGCACTACAAACCCATCTCATTTGTTTAACTATTGCTGGTCTGACAGCTATGGCGCAAAAAACCCATAAGTGATGCCGCCATGGTTAGCCAGGAAACAGAGGTTTGCACATTTGTTACAAGTTGGGAGGAACAAACATTTCCGTCTAGATCTGTTAAAAGGTTATCATATCCTAATAAATCTATATGGTGCTGTGATCCCCAATAAACCACTAAGTTTGTGTGCAGTGATAGTAGGTTTGTTATTACAAGTCACCTGGATGAAAAGCAGGGAGATATACTTACATCTGTGAAAGATTTGAGTTCTGCTTTCATGAAGGCCTCAAATTCTGTGTAGTTCATTTGACTTTTGTCTCCTTTCTTGCCTGCGTAGTGTTGGAATATCCGGATTATTTGTTCCATTGCCTTTTCCATATCAGTAGGGGGATTTTTTGCGACTGGTTGCTTAAAAAAACCAAAAACAAAAAGTTTGGGTTTAATCCAGCAGGGTGTCATTTTGACATTTTAAATTCAATGTTGCATGAAATGAGTTATGTGTGTTCATTTAATCAAAAAGGTTGAGTGAATAAACCCTATTAATCGTTATCAACCATCCAATGGAACACTTTCCTCCGCTTATGTATAATGAACTAGATTTTACAAAATCAAGGATATTTGCAAAAAATAAATAAAAAAGTGGGGGGGAATTCACCACAAGTTTTAATCCCAAATAGGCAAATTGAAAACATAGCAAACTTTGAAACCTTTCCCAGTTTGGCAGTTTTGGCTGCAATTATGGTGTAGATTTCAAAGTGAAAAACGGATTTGTCAGTTCAGAGCTACATGGAAAGCTGTTGAGAGATTTAAAGCACTATTACATATCTCTGGAACAGAATTACAGTTCCAGGTGGAGCAGGATGACAGGCCAGTTTGGAAATGTGGAGGATGCCATGTAAGATTTAAAAAAGTAAGTTGGCATCGGTCCCACGTGTTAAAACACGTCAAGCTACTTTAATGCACACTAGATGGACAGACAGAACAACCTCACTCACTGGCACAGTTGTAAGACGCAGAAAAAGGGGTGAGCCAAGTCTTACCAACTCCTGGGTGCATAAGATTTCAGTGACCTTTATAAATGATAGTTAAAGAGACACTATAGTCACCCAGACCACTTCAGCTGAAGTGGTCTGGGTACAATGTCCCTTGGGTTTTAACCATGCAGATGCAAAACATAGAAGTTTCTCTGAAACTGCTATGTTTACATTGCAGGGTTAAGCCAGCCTCTAGTGGCTGTCTTCTAGACAGCCACTAGAGGCGCATCTGCGACGCTGGAAGCATATTATGCCTCCATCACGAAAATGCTTTCCTATTGACAGCTTGAATGTGCGCGTGGCACTTGCCGCACACTCGGCTCCGCTGACATCGGCGGAGGAGGAGAGGTCACTAGTGCTGAGGGAGCCTGGCGCTGGAATAAGGTAAGCTGCTGGAGGGGGACCCTGAGGGTGGGAGCACCCTCAGGACACTATAGTGTCAGGAAAACCACTTTGTTTTCCTGACACTATAGTGATCCTTTAAAGTGAATATCCAGCATCATAACTTCATCGGAATGGAGTTATGGTGCCAAGTGGCTTACCTTCAAGGAATTAAACCTTTTAAAATGGCCAGTCGGTAGCTCCTTCATAAAACAGAATGAGATATGCAAGTATTTTCCCTCAAGCTGTTTTGTGGATAGGGAGCTACTAACTGGCTTAAAAACCATCAGTGGACTCTCAGCCAATCAGCGTTGCTTGGTCAGAGGCTTCCCATTTTAAGATTTAAAGCAGTGAAAAGACAGGGGCACGGCTCAACAGCGCTGGATTCAAGGCTTTGGGTTAAACGAGAGAGAGCGAGCGCAAGAAGAGAGAAATAAAATTGCTGCACTATAAGCCGGCCTCCTTAGTCACACCCCCTCACGCCAGAAATACTTCCTTATCAAATGTTTACATACAGCTTGGCCCTAGGAGCACTATCACATGTATTACAGTTGTATGGGTGTCCAGAGTGTCCCTTTAATACATAAAAGCAGTTACAATAGGACAATCCATGTTTATTACAGGAAGTTTAGTGACAAGACAGATTTAAAGTTTACCTTTTGTGAAGGGGGTGCCTTGAGTAAAGCTTCATGACATGCCACCATCATCCCACCAATTAGATTGAAAAACTCCTGGAAGTTCAACTGGTTATCTCTCTTTCCATCCACACCTCCATCCACTGAAGCCATAATTTTTTCAAGAATTTTTGGGTCTTTCTGATTCTAATAGAAATAAATAAATTAAAAAACAAAACCCCAAAAACACATTTTTTTTTTTTTTAGAATATATAAAATAAACCACAATTTTCTTAACCTGTTAAAGGGACACTATGGTCACCAAAACAACTACAGCTTATTGAATTTGTTCTGGTGAGTAGTATCATTCCCTTCAGGCTTTTTGCTGTAAACATGGTCTTTTCAGAGAAAATGCAGTGTTTACATTACAGCCTAGTGATAACTTCACTGGCCACTCCTCAGATAGCTGTTAGAGATCCTCCCTGGGTCACGGCTGCCTAAAAATGCATCCAAACATTCAGTGTCTCCTCCCTCTGCATGCAGACACTGAACTTTCCTCAGAGATTCATTGATTCAATCCATATCTATGGTCTCAGTCAGTCCTCTGGGGAAGCATTGTGATTGGCTCAGGCCACCACTTCTGATGTCAGCAGGCAGGTCTAAAGGAAACAGGGACAAACTATGCAGCTGCAGACTTGAATTCAAGTAAGAGTTTACTTTATTTTTAGAGGCATGAGGGGACCAGGGTGGCTAGATGGTGGTTTTAACACTATAGGGTCAGGAATACATGTTTGTGTTCCTGACCCTATAGTGATCCTTTAAAGGTTTGTGCCCCGGACTCCCTGGGAGAAGCGCCTAAAAGTCTAAAGCAGCCGGACGCACTATCTGAAGCGTTCTGGTGGAGGCTGAGTGTTCAGATATCCTCATCATCTGGAGGCGGATAAGACACCTCCAAATGCAAAGCAGCCCACTTTGACAGAGTTACACCAAGGTGGGGAGGCAGGCCAGAGTCGGCCCTGAATACTTTCAAGGCAAGCAGGACGAAGAGGGCAACAACTGTGCACAAGGAACTTACAGATTACACTACGGGCTCTGGGCCCATATGCTGGTGCTCTCAGCTGGGACTGAATCATACCCATAATGGGAATAAGCGAACCGTACAGCTGAGACTCTTGCTGCATGTATACACACAGCCTATGGATCTCTTGATAGCGTCTCACTGCTATTTTATGTCCAGCTTTTGCAATTCTTAAATGGTTGATGTCCTTGGTGAGCAAAAAGGACATTTTGGTTATGTCCCTGGAGCTCCAACAAATTGTAGATCTAGCCTGATTACTTTCTTATATTTACCCTTCACAAGTGCATCTGACCAGCATTATGTAAGAACACTTTAGATTATTCGCATCGTACAGTGTCTCACTATAAAATTAGGCCTATGTAATCTATACAAGGCATATGACTCCATATGCTCCTAGTTACATCACTTTACCATGGTTAGGCACTTGAATGCTTAATTATATTCATACTGTATACCTCAATTTAAACTCTGTGCCTCAAAAATATTGAATGAGAAAACACAATAAAATAAAAAAGGTATTTCAGACGTGAATCCCATGCTCACTATGCCTAGAGGGACATCAGCTACACCTCTGTTATAAGGCCCAAAGAAGGCTGCAACTCTCATGCAGAGAGAAGTTGCTGGCATTTCAGTTGTGGACTGACCTTGTGAGTGGGATCAGTCTTATCTACCTGGTTCTCTCTGTAAATGGCACAAGTGAACAAAAACTATTGAGACTGGAGCAGGGATTTACAGAATTGCAAACTACTGTATTCCTCTAAGCTTCTGTTTTCAGACTTCTCATATGCTTTGTTGCATCTTAAAAAATAAACTAAATGCTAAACATCATTAATAATCAATATTTAATACCAATCCCAAAAGGTTTCCTTCTGATAATATCAATCCTAATATTAGCAAAGGGAATTTGAATCTAAAAACAGAGTGGTATGTTGCTGCCATCTACTGGCCACTTTCAGTATGATAGCTTTATATCCAACATTGAATATAGTATGCCCAATGCGTTGCCATCTATGCTGGGCCACTGATCAAAATTCCATTTAACCCCTTAAGGACACATGACATGTGTTTGGTCCTTAAGGGGTTAAGCATGGAGGGAGTACCTCAAGGATCTGTTCATGGATTTTGGGTCTCTTGTAAGTATAAAAAGATACTGGAGGTTCCTTGGTACCAGCAGGGATTTAACCCCTGCTGGTACTTTTACTGCATGACAGTCTATGCTGTAACTGGGCCTTAAAACCGTGCATGATGGCATAGACTATCATGTGGTCCATAAGTGGTTAAAGGGACACAAGCGCCAAAACAACTTCATCTAATGGAAATTATGGTGCCAGTCTTACCCCAAGGGTTAAACCATTCTCAAATGATTTAACCCCAAAGTTGCCTTCAGGGGCGATGGTTACTGGTTACTTTTAGTTTAACAGCACTCGCTAGTAGTATGAATTTGTAGGTCAAAATAAATAAAATGTAATCTATATCTTAAATCATATCTCCAGAGGGGGCTCTCAGTTGTTACTGGCCAGGGACCCTTATTTATTGTTAAAATGCTGAATAGGAGGCAGAGTGATACACAAACCATACCAGGTATTTCTACTGGAATGGACGCACTCACCGCTGTGAAGGAATTAAGCTCTGTTTTCATGAAGGTCTCAAACTCTTTGAAGCTCATGGTGGCTTTGTCTCCTTCCTTTCCAGCATAACGGTTGAATATCACGATAGTCTGCTCCATGGTCCGTTCCATGTCTGTGGGAGGGGTCTTGCACATTTGAGCCTGTGTACCAAGAACAAAAATAAATAAAGAATACCACATTTAAAAGACAACCACCCATATTAGCAGTTATTCTTCTGCACAAATGCATTCGCTGAACACATCCCTGTCAACTCCATGCAACTCCAAAAGCAGTTGTGAGTCTAATTGCATGCCATTCACAATAGGGGTGCACTGATTAAACTAGTTAGAAGCTAGAATTGTGGAGTATTACAAGCCCCGTATATTAGGAGCTCAAAGGCAAAACTGTATTCCTGGCACTATCGTGGTCTGTGTGCCTACAGTATCCCTTTAACCCCTCTCAAACTGATACACACACGACAGAGACCGGTACACCAGATACAGATACATTTCCCTTTTGCAGACATCTTGTTTCTTTGCTTTCTGAAAAATACTCTGTACGGTGGAGGATTTGTTATGTGCAGATACCGAAAAAGCTTTGACCATTTTTGGGCTATGAGAACCGATTTGGGAACAACTGCTGTAGACTGTCTGGACCACCAAGATTTGCCCAATGGTAGAGGCTATTGAGAGACATGTATTGAGATGGTGGTCAGAGAAGACATGCAATAGTCGCACAATCCGCCAAAGCAAGCCAGCACAGGCCGCCATGTTATGTTGTGGACACCTGGCATTTTATGTACTGTATAAACACAGGAAATGAATTGCAAGCTCATATAGACCAGTCAAAAAACTCTCCACGCCTGCTCCACGTTTATCAAGATATTGCCAAAATTCACCCCACTTTATTTCAAGCTTCAACAGGAATACACTTTCTGGATTGTGTGCGAGCTGTCTGGGCTTGGCCATATCACTGCTTAAATTTCTAACTTACTAGTCTAGGCAAGTGCCTTGAGGTCAGTAAGTTATGTTATCTGGGCTCCTCAATCTTGCCTAGACACAGACATGCTCCCCTTCTCTCTCCTAGCAACAACTGTACACACCTGAAAATCACTCAGGAAACATTGAGAAGCCCTAAATACATAGGAACAAACTTGTAGACACTTGCCTGTCCTGCAAACATTACAAGAGGGAGTGTGTCTACCAGCCAGCCAATCTTCAAACATTTCCTGGGCAATGACAAGAGGCGAATCTTGGGTGGGATCCACTTCTTAGATCATTTCCACATCATGAACTGATTACACAATGGATCCCCTTTAACAAAAAGCATTGAACAATGCAAGAAACTGCCCTGCATTTACCAAGGCCTAACAGACAAATCCATTTACATATTTTCAGCTGTGCAAATGTTCGATACATAACGTTACATGGTAACCTTTTCCAGAAACAAATGAAAAAATAAAATAAGGAAAGGCTGTTTGTAGGTACATCTAAAGACATTCACAGATGAGTTGCTGTGAGCCTAAAATTTGCTATATTTTAATTTGCACAGGGGGTATATACACACACACAAATAAAATGGATATCAAAGCTATTGCTTGCCAAAAGTAATGAAACAGGCGGAACATGTAGAAGTCTGACACACCTTTGAGTTTACAGACAATGAACACTGTACAGTCTTCCTTATTTCTCCCAATGGCCAAATAAGAGGTAACACTGGACCTGCCCCAAATCTCCATGTTCCCGGAGGGAGAATCATGTCAGCGGGTTAACTGGGGTTTATCCAAATCCCTGCCTTAAATCACAAGGCCTTGTGAAATCTAAAGGAATGAAGCCAAAGCCATTTTTTGAACAGAATGCCTCAGTGGGCCTGAACTATGTACATAACCAGGCTTACTCAGCCATTTGGCATGCAGTGGTTGCATGCCTGACCTAATCTCTTTTTCAGGGGAATTTGATTTAGAGAAATGTGTGGGTTTTTTCGCCCCTGCTCTGGTGCAGGGGTACAAAGGCATGTTAGAATACAGTACAGTTTAATAATGGGGTGATGGGTAATAAAAAAAAAAAAAAAAAGCAAAAATTACACTCCCATGAGGCTTTACCACCACTAGAGCAACAGAGTATTGTGAGCTTTGTAGTTTTAAAACAGCTTGGGCATTTACCATTTGACCAACCCAGGTTTAATAAATGCAGTTTGTGGAATCTATTATAATGCAAATGCTTCGTCATACAACAAAGACAGAACAGGAATTAGTCACAGGAAGCTGGTGACACATACACAAAAAATAACAGAACAACCAACATAGCAATAGATATGTACCAAGGCCAGAGAGGACAATTCTAACCAAGTCTGCGGTGTGATATTGGAACGTTAGGTGGTCAGTCAATAGGTCAGAGGGTTAACAGGTATAGAAAGCTCATTATGTACTAGGCCTCTAATTAAAGTTCAGGTCATCTGGCCCCCAGTTTTTCACGATAGAAAGAAAATAGATTGTAAAAAACGGTCGCCAACCACAGATACAGCAACGGATTTATTCACTAAACTGCAAACTGTACCGAGTTAAAATGCAGAAAGCAACATTTAGGGCAAAATAATAGATTTGGAAAAATTCTCCAACTTGGCTGGTTTAGTCTCAATTAGCTAAAAATCAAGTTTAGTGATTAAGCCAGCTATATTCCGGTAGAGAGTGTGTGGGAAGGAGGATATTTTACCTGGAAAGATGGACTTGTATACACCATGGGGAGGTTTCAGTGACTATGATACTAGAAGTATGTGGGTATGGAAGCAGGAGGGGTGCCGGTGAGAAACCAGTATACTCAGGGGCTATGTGTACAAGGAAGAAAGCATATACCCAACACATAGCTCTGTGAAATACTTTAAACCCTTAAGAACACATGACATGTGTGACATGTCATGATTCCCTTTTATTCCAGAAGTTTGGTCCTTAAGGGGTTAAACCCACAAAGGAAAACCAATTTAACTCTTTGTGGTCCTATACATTTTCACTTAGTGCCCCAGCAGGTCTCTTTAATTGAACAATTCAAACCCGAATTGGAGATTGCATTGTGCATACACACAGCGCTCCGCGATCTCCAGGTGGAACGTCACGCAACTAGGGTGTGCATACCACCATGACCTCCTAGCCTGCGAGTGTTGCACATCTTTGGGGCACGGAGGGTCGCCGGTACTCCCCAGGGAAAATCTGACACCGGACCGCAAGAGGTAAAATTAAATTTGTTGGATATATTCTGACATAGGACCGCAAAGGGTTAATAAAAGCTTTCAGGTGCCTGCAGATCCTATAGGGATCAAGTTAGGCAGCTTTGATCTTGGCAATACAACACTAAGAACTGGATACTGTTCTTTACACTCAGTTAAACAATCCAGGCTACATCAATTTATAGTTTTTAGATTCCCCCACCTTTTGTTGGAAACATCACTTCTAAATGCTCATTAAAAGGCAAACACACCAAGAGCTACTCAGTATATAGCATTCATATGCTGCAGAAGGAGATTAGCCTAATCCAAGCATGTTCATTTGGGAACCATATGGGATAAATAAATGGATTTCCTTTCTGCAATATATTAAAGGATACATAGTACAGGGCTGTTAACATGTATCGGTGATGGGAGATGCAGAACCCCGAAGGCTAAACCTAGGCCCTTTCAGCTACATCAAAGTCTAAAAGGAATAGTTATAACAGGCATAGGGGCCACATCTACTGTCTCAGTTTGTCACCATTTAAAAATACCCCCTAGGTTAAGCTTTACCAAGTCTTTTTGATACCCAACCCCTTCTTTCATTTAACTGCACCCCTGCACCCACACACATCGCACAGGTGACAACACCCTTACAGAAGTAAACTCTGTAATCTGTGACATAAATAATACAGGACAATGAGAATCAAGCAATGGCTGCTTCTACCCAGGACAAAGACTTACCATGGTGGGGCAGGTAGGTAGGTAGTGTCACACAGACTAGGGCTATGGAAGAAAGTGAGGTATTTGCTCAGAGCTGGAAGAGATGTAATTTGAAGAGTTTAGAGCCGCACCCAACAGACAACCAGCCAACTCCCTCCCCAATTTTTACATTCCTGCCTCCTAGCTCCTGACTCTGTAACTACTTCTCATCTCAAAAGAATTAAGCTTTAACATTCTGTACTTTTCAGAGCAACCAACATTGAGGAATGGTAGTAACTTAGTCTGCAGACATAATTAATTTCGTTACTGATTAGCCTGTAGCTTTAGAACAAGTACTTCCTCTGCTCTGGCACTCAAAGTGTTAATTAAAGGAAGTTAAAGTGACAGTGATTTTGTTTATTACCACGGTGTACCTTTGAACATAGCCTGAACAGCTGTAACATAGCTGCCACGTTTGTGCTGATGCAGTTTCATATAAAACCCTAAAGTGTTACGTTTTTTTTGTTTTTTTTTAATTCTTTATTTTTCTTGTGCAAGGATTAACAACAAGCGTGCAGGGCCACAACAGCCTCCACAGGCATTTTCATAACTTTACAAAGTGTGGCAGTGTAGACAGCACATTTTTTGTATAACACGAAGATAACAGGCTATTAGACATCAGTATTTTATAAAATAACATGTTAGGCTAGATAACCATGTGACAAAGCTAGTTGCTCTTAAGATTGTGAGTGTGTAACGGTGCATTGGTAATAATGGGAGCATTTTGCTTAAGGCACTGGCTGCACGTTTTTAAATGTAAAAATAAATCAACATTTTCACTTCTAGTTTTAAACAAGCTTGGGTTGCATGGTAGGGCTAGTAAGTAAAATAATGTGTGAGCAGTTAAGGTAAACACATATGAGAGACAACGGCAAAAACTCTGCAAGGGATGGATTACTGATAGACTAAAGACGTTTACTTTACGTTTAGCTAGTATGCAGAGAGCAGTTCTTGTGTTAAGGGACATGGTGTGGAAGTCCAGCTATAACAAGATATGCCTGGCAGGCTCCAGTCTCCAGCCTGTGATCATCCGATCCCTTCTGGGCGCCAAGCGCAGTTCCCGAGAGCCCTTGTCGCCTGGAGCGACAAAGGCAGATATGTGGCTAAGTGCCAGGCATCCGGCCTGTAGTGGTGGAGGTTTGCTTTGTCAGGTAGGACTTTTTGCGGGTGAGATGGGTGGTGAGGGGGCAGCCCTGGAGATTGTCTCCATTGAGGCTTTGGGCAACTCACCAGTGGTCTAAGAGTTGGGCGCTGGGGCTTTCGGCATTTCTTCTGCCTCTCCCTCCCTGCTATCTCGATCTTTCTCGGGTTCCGCACCGGGGCTGCAGGCCGCTGTGTTATGTCCTTTGTGGCTGATGCCGGTGGGACTTGTGCCTGGGCGTCTCTGCGGCTGATGATTTTGGCCCAAAAATTGCTGAATAGGCGGTCTAGCCGCTCCGACAGTGGAGGCAAGCTGGGCTTGGATGCTGGGAGCCACGTGGTCTCTGCCATGCTGTGTATCGGCGGTCCGGCGGTGCAAGATGGCTGAGCTCTGTTTCGCCGTTCTGATCCCCATGTTCTAGATGCCGGGATATCCCTCACCGGCAGGGGGGGGGGGAGAGAGTGTTCCGGGGAGACCTCCTTTATTATAGGCTGCAGTCGGCTGAGGGATCGGCCGTCTCCCCCATGCTTCCTGAGTAGGCCGCAGGTAGGCCTCAGGTCCATCCCCTGGAATCGGTCGCATTTTGTGGTCCCGGGCTTGATTATGTTTTGTCTCGATATTAGACCCCAGTGGCTGGGGTGTAGAAAGCATTGAATTTGCAGGTTTTGCAGCGAATTTGCTTGGTTTTCAGGCTGTTTAGACAGGAGCTCTGCTAAGGTGCGACCACTCAGCTTGGCTGTCAAGCTCCGCCCCAAGTGTTACGTTTTTGTATCATTTACTTGTGTTTAAAAAGCTCACCCTTTTATACTGTGTCCGATAACTAATATCTGATTTGCTATAAACAATTTAAAGGGACAGTATAATTACCAGACTGCTTCATCTCATAGAACAGGGGTTCTCAATGTTAGTCCTCAGGACCCCCTACCAGGCCAGGGTTTAGGGATTACCTGGGTGTGTCTAAGGTGTTTAGAAAAAAAAAAAACACCTGAGAGTCTAAGGTGTTTTTTTCCCGTTTTCTAAACACCTGAGACACACCCAGGTAATCCCCAAATCCTGGACTGGTAGGGGGTCCTGAGGACTGGGTTGAGAACCCCTGTCATAGAAGTTTTTTTTTTTTTTTTTTTAAGTATATTTTTATTTCTTCAAAATTTTCTCAATTTACAAAATACAATCAATTCCTCTATTACAATACTTACATTATTATATATTTCCATGTGTAAACAACATTAGCAATATAAAACAGAATTAAATATCCATATTTCATGTATATAGCTAAATAGAGGTATTTAAAAAAGGAAAAAAAAAAAACCCAATGCATTTCATACACACAAAATACCATCCAGAGGAACCAAACCTGTATTATCCAAATTTACCCATCCTTTCCATTAAGTACACTTTAACTAAGGTTCCTCCACAAATCAATCACACTTTGGGGGAGCCCATATCTACAGAATTATAAGTTCACGTTATTAATAATAAAATTATCAACTATTATTTCCCATTTATTATATTTCTTCAGACCTACAGAATTACCTAGAATTATTCCCTTTTCCATCTTACATTGATGAATAACCTGTGTTTCAATTTCCCTCCAGTGTATTTCATTTTTACTTTTCCAATTTCTAGCAACAGCTAGCTTTACTGCCATTAAAATATGTATTATCAACATCCGTTTCTCAAAGGGCATAAAGGGCCATCCCAAATGTAGCAAAAAACTTTGTGGTGTGAAAGGTATATATAGCTGACATGAATTATGAATCTGCCTATATACCTCCTTCCATATTTTAGTTAAAACTTTACAATGCCACCAGATATGGAGATAATCTCCTATCGCAACTTCACAACGCCAACAAAAAGAGCTCTGATCAAAATATATATTAGCCAATTTTTCTGGGACCATATACCATCTATTCAGAAGCTTATAAAAATTCTCTACTATATTCAAGCAATGTACCGATTTATTAACTCTCTCTATCGCATTTATCATATCTTGCTCAGGGATTGATATTTGTAAATCTTTTTCCCATTTAGTCTTAGATTTCCAAGGAGAGAACTTTTGAGATGACTTTAAGAATTCATAACATCTAGAGATGTGACCTTTAGTTCTATTTGTTTCTACGATCTTCTTAATGTTACTTATAATTTTATTTAACTGAATGTCCAAAAATTTCGTCAAGAAAAACTTGTTTAGAAAAAAAAAAAAACACCTGAGAGTCTAAGGTGTTTTTTCCCCGTTTTCTAAACACCTGAGACACACCCAGGTAATCCCCAAATCCTGGACTGGTAGGGGGTCCTGAGGACTGGGTTGAGAACCCCTGTCATAGAAGTTGATTGGGTGTAGTGTCCCAATCCCATGTAGTCCTGCAATGTAAATCATTGCAGTTTTTTGAGAAACTGCAATAAATACATTGCAGGACTAAGACCACCTCTAGTGGCTGTCAATCAGACAGCCACTATAGGCACTTGCACTTCCTGGTTCGAACTGACTTTTGGTCGTGAGGACATCCAGCGTCAGTAAAAAACTGAAGCACTGCTCTCCTACGAGGAGAGCCTAATGTGCTTGCCATGCAGGTGCAATAACCCCCCCCATCGGATGATGGCGAAGAAGGCGGACCACTGAGGAACATCAGTGTTGGAATCGGGTAAGTGCCTAAAAAGGTTTTTAGCCCTTTGGGGTGGGGGGCACTATAGTTTTAGGAATACAGATTTGTATTCCTAACACTATAGAATTCCTGTAATGTCATTAAAAAACAACCATTCATGGGAAACACTATCTGGGTTATTCAATAAGCACTGGATTTTTTCCATATGGTAAAAAGCCGGTGAAAATGACTGAATATTTACTAACACCAAATATTGTCGGAATTCTGTGGATCCAAGCAGATTTGCAGCAATCACCTGGAACAGAGGCGTAACTAGAAACCACCATTCCCCCATGTGTCTTATCCTGCCCGCCCAGTCCCTCCATGTGTCATATTCTCCTCCCTAGCTCCTCCAGGTGTCTCACCCCCTATCCCCTCCATGTGTCTCATTCTCCCCCACAGTTTCCTAATATGTCTTATCCCTATGCCCCTACATGTGTCGCAATTCCCCCCAATTCCACATGCATCTCATTTCACCCCAGTCCCTTCCATGTTTCTTAATTCTCCCATCCAGTTCCTTCCTTAGGAATTAATCCCCCCAGTACCTTCCATGTGTCTCAATCCCCTAAGTCCCTTCCATGTGTCTCTATTTCCCCCCCAGTCCTTTCCATGTCCTTCAATTCCCCCCAGTCCCTTCCATGTTTCTTAATTGTCCCATCCAGTTCCTTCCATAGGTATTAGTCCCCTCCCAGTACCTTCCATGTGTCTCAATCCCCCCCAGTCCCTTCCATGTGTCTCTATTCCCCCCCCAGTCCTTTCCATGTCTTTCAATTCCCCACCAGTCCCTTCCATGTGTCTTAATCCCCCACCCCCAGTCACTTCAATTTTGTCTCTCTCACATTCCCATCTCTACCTGCTCTTGTCCATGTAGTGTGGCCGAGTAGACTGCCGTACCTTCATGACCGCACTTACCTGCGGCTCCCCCGTCGCATCTCCGCCCACGGCTGCAGCGGTCTCTTCTCGGTGCATGCTGAGGACTCCGGCGCCCATCATCGTATACAGCTGACCGGCATTCCTGCAACAGGTGGGCGCGGTGCTGCGGCTCTCCACACTGCGACCTGTGGGAAGTCCCAGCCGAAGCCATATGTGATTATACTTTCACTAGGCGCGCCCGCCGTAACCCTGGCCTCTTAAAGGAACAGTACACCTGACATTTTTGTGTAAAGGACTATTCACCTTTTAACTAATAGAATGTGAGAGCT